ACATATGGACAAACATGGCTGCAGGCCCAGCACGAGGCACTGCAGAAAATGGTACAATATTTCTACARTGAGATTTATTTTTTCCCTGCCAAGACAATGCTGAGTTCTGCCTTTAGGAACCTCCTGGCTTTTTGAAGTCGCTGCAGACTAATTGCACCTCTTATTTGCTTTGGATTGCACTGTGCCCAGGAGCTCTCATAGCTGCAAGGCAGACTCACCCAAAAGCAGCACTTTTGTGTTCACTTCTGTGCCCTGGCCTGCAAGAGAGAGGGCTACAGCCTTCCCAGGGTCCTGGGCAGGAACAAGGCAGCCGCTGGGTGCAAGGTCAYGTTGTGATGTGAGATCCTTCCTCACCTCTTCCTCCTTCTCCTGGCATTGGGTCGGGGAGCAGGGATGAGCTGCAGGGCTGATGGAGTAAATCCAAGTCTGTGGATGCTGTTAGGCCAAAAGGGATGCATAGCAATAGCGTATAGCACTGGCCGGCCTCTCTGCCCATCGCTCCCTTCAGCTGTCCCCAGGGACACAGGGCACAAGCTCCCACATCATGCAGAGGCTGCGTGACCAGATGGCCATAGCTAGTAGATCAGGGCTGGAGTTGCCCTTGGTCTGGCTTTCCCCTTCTTCTCCTCATCCCAGACTCATCAATCACATCACCCTGGCTAAGATCCTTTTCCTAAGATAGGAAAGTTGATCTGACTACTTGTAAAAGGAGTTGTCAGCTGGTGTAAGATGGTGTCCAACAAAGGTCTGCAGATATGCACGTCCTTCTGGGCTCAGTGCATTGCTCACACTGTGCTGCCAGCGCTCTGCAAATCGGACCTGTGCCATGCAGGAAAACAAATGCATACCTAGGCTCTTTTCTCAAGGCACAAAGTGTTGATAGTTTTGGCATGAGCCTCTGAGTAGATGTGAGTGGCTCTTTGGATAAATGGGTCTGACTCAGGTCTTGGCATTCAACCTGCAAATGAGACGCGTTTCTACATCTAAATTAAACCCTCCTGGTGTGGCAGAAGGCAGGTAGCTACATTCACCTACGTTGCTGTGGTGAAATCAGCTCTGCAAAATGAAGGTGAATGGGGATTGATCTGCTAACACAGCAACAGTCCCTCCATGGGCTTGGATTCTGGCTACTGAAGCAAATTCATGGGCTGAGCAGAAAATGGGGTTTACGAGGCAGAAGAGCCCAAGCTGCTGCTGCTGTGAGTGTGGAAATCTCCCCRCCTGGAAGAGATGTAGCAGCGCACTGCCACTGGCTTTGAGAGGAGAAAACCCAGGTAATGCTATTGCTACRGTGGGCAGCGACAGGTCCAGAGTTCAAACGCTGCTGCCTGCAAACCTGAAAGACATTGCACATCTCTTGGAAACTGGCATGCTGATGCAAACTGAAGCTTTGGCATCAGCTTTCCTGAGGCCCTGGGCATCAGGGATGCATCCCCACCCAAAGAGACTTATCCAGAGCACCCTGCCTCTGTCCTGCKGGGCCACCCATAGTGGTTAGCTAGGTGTTGCACTGAGGAGGAAACCGGTTCTTTCTCTAGGTGGACATTTGACGGGCAAAATGGTGGTCTCAGAAGAAATGAGCTCATGGGTGTCACCTATGGCCCCAAACCAATTTGGGGGCTCTACTTATTCATCCGTCTTGTTCCTTCTTGGATTTTGTTCCTTAAGGAGATGCAATCTTTTGGGGTACCTGCTTCTCCTACAAGGCCACTGAAATTGGTTCCACCTGTCTCAAACTGGTCAAGCATGCRGCGGTCACACACCTGAAGGTGTGTGCTCATACAGGGGCAAGAGCCAACTAGATTTGGGGTAGAGGGGCTTTGGGTTCTCAGGATTGCAATAGCTGTTCATTCTCAGCACTATCCACATGTGTGTGAGAGTGCTCAAGTAGCTGGTTTGGGAAAAGGCCTGGAAGGAGCTCCTGTTCCCTGCCACTCTCCTCTTTGGATGGGGATGCCATGGCACAAATGTAGCTGTATTTGAAGCAACCTGTTTGTATGCATTGCCAGAAGGCCTGCAGGACTTGCTGTTTTGTCCTCTGTGCTGGCACTTGCTGCCCACAAAGCCAGACATGCACAGCAGAAGAGGCAAGTAGCAGAACGGGAGAGTCTGGCCAGAATGGCAGGGCCTTGTTTTGGAGCCTTGCTGTGTGATGTGGCTACACTGGCTGGTGCTGAGCTGTTTCTCTGGGTGCCATGTACACACCGGTGCTGCGTATTGTGGGTCTGTTAAATGAGGGAAGTTGAACTGTGTGGATCTGCCCTTGTAAGAAGCTGTAGCAGTGTGCAGGTAATGTTGACATCTCAGCTTCCTGGCCCAGGTGCTTGGGGGAATCCACCTAACCCAGTCAATAGACCCTTGTGGGGCTATGGGGCTCTAAGTGGATTGCGTGCACCCCATGAATGCCTCTCTGCTGCAGGTGTCCTCTCCGTGACCAATGGAAATAGAGCAGCCTGTGAGACACTGGGGCAAAATGATCCTCACRTTTCTCTCCAGTTGTAAACTCTAATCAAGTGCTTTCCTTCACAGCTTGGATATTCTTGTGCATGAGTCTCTTGGCCTATAGCACCTATTTTAACATATGATGGTGTTAGTCCTGTGCACAGTTAAATAGTTCAAGACCACCAGATAGCCTGGACTGTGCTTCCAAAGGAGACCAAACCCAGAAGAAAAGCTCTGGGGRAGCAAAGCCAACAGCCAAGGCTCAGGAAGGCAGGCAGCAGGCTCACCTCTGTAAAAAGAGATGGCCAAGGCCCCATATTAAAAGAATATACTCGCAAGGTAGCTACAGGGATGCTGGAGGCTCAGCATGGCCCAGGGAACCATAATGCCAGATTCAAGGCTAGAATTGTCCCCAAAGGCAACACTGCCACTGTGCAAGTGGCAAAGGTGAACTAGGAGGACACACTGGGTTGTATCTCCTGATAGCACAGACAGTCGGTTCAGACGTGTCCCTGCCTCTTCTCCTCTCCTGACTGTCCAGAGAGGAGTGGGGGCAAAGGCAAGGGATGCCTTGTGACAGCTTCAGTGATGATAAGCTGAAGTCACCCAAGACCAAACGTTAAGAATCAGGCAACAGACTGCAAATTGGAGCCAGTGTGAGGCCTGGATGCTCCAGCCCACTGTCCTGCCTGAATGCCATGGGTGTCACCCTGCGCCAGCCACCCCTGGTTGCCAGCCACCCCTGGTGTGTGCAGTGCAGAGCTCGGCTGCAGGGACGGAGGACATCGTGAACCCATTCATTTCTTCTTGGAGTAAAGCAGCGATTTGCAGTGAACTAAAAGAGACAGCTCTGGAAGTAGCTTGTGCTAAGGCAGGGTGTTGTAGCGTGGTCCACGCTGAACAGTGACTGTGAGGCAGCAAAGTAAAAGTGTATTGGGAAATGATGGGAGATCTAAGGGTCCCCAAGTGTTTGAAGCTTTGTCTTGTGCACATGAAGACAAAGAGAGCCTCAGTATTGACTTGGGGAGGAGGCTCCAAATTTGGGGGAAATTTGCACACCTAGAAAAGGAAAAGGAGTGGCAATTTCTAACGTGGACATCTCTTGAGACGGAGGGGAGCAGGAAGGACAAAGCTTGGCTTTTTATTTGTGAAAGCACTGTGGATGGACGGCAAGCCAAGGGGCTTAGAAAAAGCAATAAGCTGTGCAGAAAAAAAAGATATGTTAAAAATAAATAAAAAGAGCTCAAATGTAAATTTTTTTTTCATCTTTTGCAGGTCTGGCAGTGGAGGTAACTGTCTTCATCTGCCACAAACACAGAGCAGGGTCAAAATGTCAAGAGGACTCACTTCTCTATGGAGATGTCTGCTCCCTGCCTCTTTTTTTTCGCCTTTTTTCCCTTCTCTTCTAGTCTTTCTTGTCACCTCCCTCATCACCCACCTCCCTCATCCTCCCTCCCTCCCTTTTCTTGGTCCTGGAGGGACAACAGGTACCAGCCGGATGCTGTTGGTCTGCTGCGCTAGCAGGCTTTGCACTTGGCCTCAGTTGGTTGCCAGGGCTAGGAGCCAACTCTCCTTCTTCTGCCAGAGCAGAGCAGAAAGCCAACATGCGACTCAACTAACTGCTCCAACCTTGGCTTTGTAAAAACAGCTCCAAGAAGGACCAGCGGGCGCCCGCTAAGAGCCTTGGGCAACTGTTAGCAGCAGCTATGAGCCATGAAGTGAGTTTCAAAGAAAAAAAGAAGGAAAGAAAATGCAATCCACGTGTCAAATACTCCACAGGTCACACAGAAAACTGTGAAGCCAGGGGAGGGAGGAAGTGCTACCACCCCTGCTTCGCAGAGAGGCTGTACACAGCAGGCTGAGTCAGCCTCGGAGCGGTAGGATGTGCTGTCTGTCAGGAGCAAGCGGGTGTCAAGTCTGCAGCAGAGCCTGTGCCCATTCTTCCTTCAGCTCCCACCACTTTATTATTATTATTATTATTATTATTATTATTATTATTATTATTATTAATGCTGTAAGCATTATTATTTAGCTTGAGGAAGAAAGGAAATCACACCTTGTCTCACTGTCATCACCTTAACCCTAACAGCGCCTGGCAGTGGATTCACCCTCTCAGCCTTTCCCACTGGTTCACGCAGTGTGAGCTGCTTCACAGCTTCTACTTGGCGCGTAGCTGGCCCTACCAGACAGCCCCATGACCTAGCTGTGGGCAGCACCCMAGAGGGACCGTCGCATGGGTGCGGGCACTGCCCACAGCTCATTCTCCGGAATTCCTCGCTGCTGGTCTTGGAAAGGTGTCAGCCTGCAGTGGGAGAGCCTTCCATGCCAGCAGCATTAGGAAAAGCTTCTTGTTCTTCAAATTGTCTCAGGCATTTAAATCACTAAGGCAGGAAAAGCTTATCCTAAGCTGCTAGGGGATTAGCAGGATTTATTGGATGCTCTCTGGTCTGATACCCTCCTTTTTTTGCTTAGGCTTTTCCATAGCAGRGGAGGTGCAAAGCATCACGCCCTCCAGTGAAGGAGGTGGTCGCAGCCCCGGGAGGGCCACATGAAAGGCCATGGGAAACAAGAAGGTCACAGACATCACCATGCTCCTGCACAAGGTCTTGAGAAGAGAGAAGGTCACTGCCACCCTCATGGCCAGAGGTGAGGTGACATGGAAGGCCCAGACCGTTCCCCTGAGTAAAGTCACAGCCGTTGGAAGGGAGAGGCTGTTCCAGGAGCAGCTGCCTGCAAGTTCCCTGGATGGCCTCCTCCCTGCAACCATGGGGACACGCGTGTGATTAGACAGTGGCGACATGTGTGGTTAGACTATGGGGACACGTGGTTAGACCATGGGAACAAGCATGGGGTTAGACCACGGGGTTGTGAGTGGTTAGACCACGGGGATGTGCACAGTTAGACCATAGGGACATGCCCAGCATGTGGCAGCTTCAGCGAACGTTAGCAGGCTCCTGCAGGGAAGGAAAGACGCCTGAGCTCCGTGCACGCACCACGACAAGCTCCTCCCCCGAATCCCGCGGGGTTATTTCACCCCCTGCCCCCCCATCTTTTTCCAATCGCTCCCTCACTTGTTCAATGCTGGCAAAAGCATGAGGGCCAAGCGGGACCCTTTGGTAACGCCGCCGGAGGGGCGGGGGCGGCGGGCTCCCCGCGTGGGCG